GGTCCCCAGTCCAAGGAGTGGCTGTCCCCAAGGGGGGGCTGCAGCGTCCCTGTGCTGGTCCCATTGCTGTGGTTGGTCTCATCCCTGTCCCTATCAGGTCCCATCGCTGTCCCCAACCCTGAACCACCGCTGTCCCCACTCCTGTCCCCATCACGTCCTGTTGCTGTCCCCAGCATTGAACCATCTCTGTCCCCATCCACATCCTGTCCCTGTCCCCCACCTTGAACCACCTCTGTCCCCATCCTTATCCTGTCCCTGTCCCCAAACTTAAGCCAACCCTGTCCCCATCCTCACGCTGTCCCCACACCCATCCCTGTCCTGTCCCCACCAGGTCCTTGTCCCGTCCCTGTCCCCATCCCTGCCCCATCCCCACCAGGTCGTCCCCCCACCTCCTCCCTCCCCACCCCACCCCTGTCCCCACTCTCCCCCGTGTCCCCGTACCGTGCAGCGGGGACAGAGCCACTCGCCGTTGGGGACCTCAGGCAGGGGGGGGTTGAGGCAGTGGATGTGGTAGGAGGAGACGCAGGCATCGCAGCAGAGCAGCTCCCCGCCGTCCTTGCACACCCGGCAGTACTCCATGTGGTCGTCCTCCTCCTCCTTCTCCCCTTCCTCCTCCTCCTCTTCCTCCTCTTCCTCCTCCTCCTTCGCTTCCCACTGCACCCCCTCCTTCTCCTGAGTAACACCAGGTGTCAGGCACCCCAAACCTCCTGGGGATGGCCCCAAAACAGCACCCAGGGACACCCAAACCTCCTGGGGACCCCTTGAGGGACACCCAACCTCCTGGGGATCTCCCCCAGGGACACCCAAACCTCCTGGGGACACCCAACCTCCTGGGGACGTCCCCCAGGGAACATCAAAACCTCCTGAGGACATGCCCAGGGACACCCAAATCCCCTGGAGACACACCCAAAACCACCCTAGGGACACCCAGGGACACCCTGAGGGACCCCCAAAGCCCTCTACCAGGGACCTCCGCTACAGACACCTAAATTCCCCCAGGGACCCCCACCCCCTAGGGACCCTCTAAACCCCTGTAGGATCCCTCCAGGGACCTCCCAAACTCCCTGAGGAACCCCTTAGGGACCCCCAAACCCTCCCAGGGACCCCCATTCATCCCCCAGGATCCTCCTAGTGACCCCCAAAACCCCCCAGGGACCCCAAACTGCCCCCAGGATCCCCTTAGGGACCTCCAAACTGCCCCAAGGACCCCTAAAGCACCCCAGGGACCCCTAAAATGCTGCCAGGGACAGCTAAATCCTTCCCAGGGACCCCCAACCCCCCCCAGAATCTCCCCTAGGGACCCCCCCAAGCCCCCACCCCGTCCCCCCGTCCCGCAGCTCACGCAGTGGGGGCAGCTCCAGCGTCCCTCGGGCGCGCGGTCAAGCTCGGGGTCGAGGCAGACAAGGTGGTAGGCGCGGGGGCAGGTGTCGCAGAGGATGATCTCCCCGCCCTGCTGGCACACCTCGCAGTAGTCCTGGTGGTCCGTCTCGTAGCCGTCCCCCTCCTCCTCTGGCCCTGGCCCTGCGGGGATGCCACGCACCGCCCGCTGCCACCCGGATTGATGGGGGGGACAACAGGGGAGTGCCGGGGACAGGGGGATGGGGACACGGGGGATGGGGACACTGGGGATGGGGACATGGTGGCACTGGGGATAGGGGTGCTGGGGACACTACGGATGGGGCACTGGGGGACAGGGGCACTGCGACACCAGGGGCACTGGGTGGATGGGAGCACTGGGACACAGGGACGTGGTGGCACCAGGCACATGGGCACTGGGGACACCAGCACACCAGGGGACAGGGACATGGGGACACTGGGATATCTGGAGATAGGGACAGTGGGGACACCAAATGCCCAGGAGAGACGGTGGGGACAGGGAGAGGGACATGGGGACACCGCTACACCCCTTGGAAGAAGCCAGGGGCTGGGGACCCCCCGGACGCCACCACCGACACGGGGAAGGGACCGAGGACCCCGCTCAGGGGGACATCACAGGCTTGGGGACCCCGGGTGACAACATGGGGACAGCGGGGAGTGGGGTGTCTCACCGTGCGCGGGCGCCGCGCCCGTCCCCACGGGGCCGCGCTCCCGGCTGAGGCCGGCGCAGGGGGCTGCAAGGAAAGAGGTTGGGGGGGACGGGACGGGATGGGGGTGTCACTCGGCGTCCCCGCCGTGGGGTCTGGGGTGGGGGTGGTGGTGGCACCCGGGGACCGGTGACACTTGGGGACACTCACCCTTCTTTTTCTTGCGGCCAGGACGTCCTCGCTTGAGCTTCTTGAGGCGGGTGGTGGGGTCGGGGCGGGTGGTCGCACCCAGCACCCCAGGGCTTTCGGCGTCCGACTCCTCCTCTGCCTCCCCTGCGTCCTCGCTCTGCCCGGGGACAGCAAGTGACACCGGGGACAGCAGGTGGCATTGGGGGACAAGGGGATACGGGGGACAAGGGGATGGGGAGACCAGGGGGTGAGGGGCACAGGGAGACATGGGGCCATAGGGAGGGGTGCCACCACTTGGGGACACTGGGGGACAGGAGGGGACCCAGGTGTCCAGGCACAAGCCCCCCCACCCCATAGGGGACCCAGGCTTCTGGGCCCTACCGAGCTGCTCTTCTTGCGCTTGCCACCCAGGACACCCAGTTTGATTTTCAGCGGCGCCATCTTTCTCCCCTTCATCTTCCTCTTCAGCTCTGGCACCCGCGGGCTCTTGCTGCGTTTCTTGTGGCCGGGACCTGTGGGGGGACCCGGGTGTTTGGGGTGGGGGGGGACACCCCGGTATCCGGGCACCCCCTTCCCCAGCCCCATGAGGACCCTAGGGACACCCCAAATTCCCCCAGCATCTTCCTAGGGACCCCCAAACCTCCTAGGGAATGCCCCAACCCATCCCAGTGACCCCCAAACTGGCCCCCAGATCCCCCTACAGACCCCCCGCCCCAAAAAGGATCCCTAAAGCCTCCCCAGGGACCCCCAAAGTCCCCCAGGATCACCCTAGGGACTCCCCAATCTCCCCCAGGGACCCTTGACCCACGAGGACCCAGGGATCTGAGCACCCCTTCCCCAAGCCAGGCAAGGACCCAGGCATCTGGGTACCCCTCCCCAAATCAGGCAAGGACCCAGGCATTCAGTGGGGGGACACCCAGGTGTCCTGGAAGGGACCCAGGCACCCCCCTCCCCAAACCCAATGAGGACCCAGGTGTTTGGGGGGGACACACCCACCTTTGCCTTCCTTGGTCTTGGCCTTGCGCAGGGGTGGGGGGGGGGCCTCGGGGGCCACGGCGGCCACGGCTGCGGACACTTGCCCAGCCACGGCGGCGGCAGCGGCGGCAGCAGCGGCAGCCACGGCAGCAGCGGAGCCTTTGAAGGGGTTGTTGGCGCTGAATTCCCGCCACTTGGCCCCCAGGATGGTCATCATCTTCGACATGGGGATTTTGGGGTTCTTCTTGGCGATCAGGGGCCTGATGCGGGGGGGAGGGAGGGAGGGAGGTGGGCTGGGAACCCCGGCATCCAGGGCACCCAGGTGACCAGGGGGAACTGGGGAACCCAGGTGTCTTAGGGGGCACCCAGGGTCCACTGATGCTCCCCACAGACCTCTTTCACCCCAAGGTGTCCTAATGGCCCCCCAGCACCCCGAGGTGCCCCCCAAGATGTCCCCATAGTCCCCCAGGACCCCAAGGTACCCCTGTGCCCCCCCAGCCCTCTGATGTGTCCCCCCAACACCCTGAGGGCACCCCCAAGCACTCCAAGCTGCCCTAAAATCATCCCCACAAGCACCCTGAAGTGTCCCCCAGCACCCAGAGGGACCCTCCAGGACCCCGAGGTGCCCTCCAGGACCCCAAGGTGTCCCTGTAGTCCCCCAAGACCCTGAAGAGCCCCTGGCACCCAGAGGAACACCCCCCCAGGATGCTGGCATGGCCCACAGCACCCCAGGGTGCCCCACCATCCCCCTGAAGTGTCCCCCAGAACCTTGAGAAGACCTAAAAGAACCCCCACCATCCCCCTGAAGTGTCCCCCAGCACCCAGAGGGACCCTCCAGGACCCCGAGGTGCCCCACTCCATCCCCTCAACGGGTCCCCCAGCATCCTGAGATGCCCTAAAAAGTGTCCCCAGCACCCAGAGGGACCCTCCAGGACCCCGAGGTGCCCCGCAGCCCCCCAAGGGTGCCCCCCCAGCCTCACCTCATGAACTGGCTGAAGGCCTTGTAGTTGGTGAGGGTATGATAGTCCTCCTCAGTGAAGACATGGTCCACGTCCTCCAGCCCCCAGGCCCCCAGCAACTGTGCCGAGGACTTCTGCTCCACCGCCTGCACCGGGGAGGGGGGGACACAGGGAGACACGGCCAGGCAGTGGGGGGACACACAACAGAGACCAACACCAGGACATGGAGAGGGGGACAAGAAACACACAGGAATAGGGACAGAGAGAAGGAAGAGACATGTCACCTGTCAAGTCCCCCACAGGCCCTGAGACGGGACGCCCACGAGGACCCACACGGGCAACGGGACCCCCCACAGGCACCCACACAGGTGTCAGGACCCTCAAGGGCACCCATATGGGTGACAGGGCCCCCATGAACACCCACATGGCAATGGGACCCCCACAGGTCAGTCCCCACACAGCGACAGGACCCCCACGAGGACCCCCACAGGCACCAACACAGGTGACAGGACCCCCCATGGAAGACAGGACCCCCATGGGCCCCAACACAGGGATGGGACCCCCACAGGCACCCACATAGGGTAGCACTGTGCACCCAGGTGCTCGCCCCCAACCCACTGAGTACCCCCCCCTCACTGGGTGCCTCCTGGTCATACCTTCACCTTCTGCCCCCCCTCCTCATCGGCCTTTTTCCGTCTTTTTGTTTTCTTCTCCTTCTTCTCACGGTGCTTCCGCCGCCGTTTCCTGGCCGCCCCCCCAGAGTCACTGCCACCGCTCTCCGACTTCTCCCGGTACTCTTCCCGCTGGTATTCCTCCCGCTCCGACTCCAGCTCATCTTCGCTCACCTGAAACCACCAGCCAGTGTTCATCCTTGGTGCCCATCACCCCTTGTGGGGCCCATCAGCTGCCCCAAGACCCCCGTCAGCTGCCCCAGGACCCCGTCTGTTGCCCCCAACCCCATCAGCCGCCCCAAGACCCCGTCACCTAACCCTGTCACCCATCCCCAGACCCCGTCAACCGACACCAGACACCGTCACCCATCCCCAGACGCCATCAGCCATCCCCAGGGCCCATCACCCCTCTCCAGGGCCTGTCAGCCACCCTGAGACCTCCATCAGCTGCCCCAAGACCCCGACGGTTGCCCCCAACCCCATCAGCTGCTACGAGACCCCATCAGCTGCCCCCAGACCCTGTCAGCGATGCTGAGAGTCTGCCATGCATCCCCAGGCCCCGTCACCCATTCCCAGACCCCATCAGGTGCCTTGAGACCCCATCAGTCACCCCAAGACCCCATCCATCATCCCCAAACCTTGTCCATCGAGCCCAGACCCTGTCAGCCACCCTGAGACCTCCATCAGCTGCCGCGAGACCCCACCAGTTGCCCCCAACAGTCCGTCACCCACCCCGAGACCTCCATCCATTGTCCCCAGACCCCATCCTCCATGCCCAGATCTCATCCATCAACCTGAGATCCTGTTAGCCAACCCAAAAGCCCCATAAACTGCCTTGAGACCCCATCAGGCACCCTGAGAGTCTGTCAGCCATCCCCAGACCCCCATCCACCATTCCCAGACCCCATCAGCTGTCCCCAGCCACCATCAGCCGTCCCTGAGAGTCTGTCACCTGTCCCCAGGCCCTGTCCATCATTCCCAAACCCTGTCACCTGTCCCCAGACCCTGTCAGCTGCCCTGAGAGCCTGTCACCCATCCCCAGACCCCATCCATCATACCCAGACCCCATAAGCCGACCTAAGACTCTTGTCACCCGTCCCCAGACCCCATCACCCATCCCAGACCCCATCAGCCACGCCAGAGGACCCAGGCATTCAGGCAGGGTGTCCCAGGGGAACTCACCAGTTTTTTCCGTTTCCGTGGTTTTCCAGGTTTATTTTCCTTCTGCTTCCGGGGACCCCGTTTCTTCTTCTTCACCCCCAGGGCCCCCTCGAGGCCCCGCAGCAGCTCGTCATCACCGTCTGCAGGGACACGGCAGCCTGAGCCATGGGGACACACGCTGGCGGCGGACAGGGACGGGTGGCTGTGCGAGGTCCCCTCCGCGGCCGCTCGGACGGTGACATGCAGGAAGATAGGTGATGGGGACAGTCAGCTGCGCCAAGGTCCCCTCTGTGGCCACCAGGACAGTGACACACAGTAAGACAGGTGACAGGGATGTGTGACCAAAATGAGGCCTCCTCAGTGGCCACCAACCCACTGACACACACAGAGGCAGGTGATGGGGACAGGTGGCCATGCTAAGGTCCCCTCTGTGGCCACCATGGTTGTGACATGCAGCAAGACAGGTAACAGGGACAAGCACCCACACTGAAGTCCCCTCCACAGCCACCAGGACTGTGACACACACAGAGACCGCTGATGGGGACAGGCGGCCATACTGAGGTCCCCTCCACGACCACCAGTCCGCTGACAGACACAGAGGTGGGTGATGGCCACAGGTGGCCACGCTGAGGTCCCTGAGATGGTGACACACAAGGAAGGCGGGTGATGGGGACAGTCGACTGTGCTGAGCATCCCTCCATGGCCACTGGCTTGCTGACACGCGCTGAGGCGGGTGACAGGGACAGGCGGCCATGCCGAAGTCCCTTCTGTGGCCACCAGCACAGCGTCACACACGGAGGCGGGTGATGGGGACAGGCCACCAGGCTGAGGTCTCCTCTGTGGCCACCAGCCCACTGACACACATGGAGGCGGGTGACGGGGCACAGGTGGCCACACTCGGGTCCCCTCTGTGGCCAGTGGGCGACAAGGACGCACCAGCACCCGCCTTCCCCTGGCAGAAATGAGTCCAAAATCGGCCTCCCAAAAACTCAGCACTGCAATTACCTTTTTACCCTGGTTTTTGACCCAAAACCAACTGACCTTTGGTTGGGCCTTTGAAGCAGAAACATTTTGGGGAAAAACCCAACTTTTGGGGCAAAACTCAAGGAAAATAAAACCAGCAGCCACAGCCCGAGGCCCCTCCACTGACAGTACTGGCAACACCCACTCACGTCATGAAAAAAAGGTAAAAAAACACCAGAAATGGGATTGGGGGGCATTTCCCCAAAGCCTGTTTTCCACCATATTTTGGGGTGAAATCACAGGATTTTGGGGGATATTTGGGGTAATTCTGTGGTGTTTTACCCCACTGGAAATTCAACACCAACCCGCCAAGCAGATTTCTATGGCTCCGTGGCTGGCATGCCCAATGCTGGAGCATCGTTAATGCTAAATTAATTAGCTGCGCAGGCGCCGTACCCTAAAATCCTCCTGGAAATGCCCCGTGGCGGGGCGGGGGGGGTGTTACCCCAAAAACGAGGCCCCCAACCACCGGCACAACCCCCTGGGTTCTTTCTCCCCGTCTTCCCATGAGCAGGAGCCCCTTTTTCCTCCTTTTTTTCCCTAAAAAGCATCGAGGGATCAACTGCTCGGCAGAATCGCTCCACTCCGGCTGATCGTCCCCAGCCAACCACCGGTAGAGGATTTCCCAGCTGCTCACCCCAGGGGACACCGGTGTCACCGTGACAGTGACCAACCACTGGCAGAGGATTCCCCAACCCCTCACCCGGGGGATGCCCGTGTCAGCGTGACCAACCGCCGGCAGCGGTGGATTCCCCCCTCTTTGACCCTAAAAGCGATCAACGGCTCGGCACAACCGCTCCACTCTGGCTGACAGTCCCCAACCGCTGGCAGAGGATTTCCTAACCACTCACCCGGGGGGGATGCCGGTGTCACCGTGACGGTGACCAACCGCCAGCAGAGGATTTCCCAACCTCTTGGCCGAGGGCCACCGGCGTCCCCGTGACAGGGGCCACCGAGAATCCCTGAGGACCGTCCCCGGGGCGGTGACACCTACATCCGTGTCATGGCCTTGGCTGTCCCCGGTGTTTTTGGCAGCCGGTCGGGGTGAAGCCCGGGAGAGGTGTCACATCTGCCCGGCGGCTCTTGCAACGAGCTGGCACGTCCTCAGCCTGGCGTGTGTGTGTGTGTGTCCCCCGCCGACGTCACCCGTCCGCCCCCATAAATCACAACCGGCGCTTGCTGACAGGTCCCAGCCGACCGCCGGCGGTCAGGGATGAAGCTCACCGCCGCCGCTGCCGCCGGGGAGGGAACCCCTGGTGTCCCCGAGCCGCGAA